TATATATATATATATATATATATATATATATATATATATATACATAAAACAGAGACCCACAGACACAGAGAACAAACTTATGGTTACCAGAGGGCAAAGAGGGTGGGAAGGGATAAATTGGGAATTCAAAAATTGCACCTCTTGGGCAGTGATGGAAATGTTAGCTATCTTGATTGTGGTGGTGCTTTCATGACTGTATACACCTATCAAAATTCATCAAATTGTACATCTGAAGTATGTGCAGTTTACTGTACAGTAACCATACCACAATAAAAGTGTTAATAAAATAGTGTGTATAACTGTGTATTTGTGTGCACACATACACAAATACACACACACATATAAAGTGTCTATAAAATCTGGACACGTGATTTTTGTGGACACCCAAAAAAAAGGTGTTAAAAAAAAAGTAGCCCCACTGACAGCCACACAGGAAACAGGGCCCTCAGCCCTCTGACTGGCCTTTGCCACATCCTACACTTGAAATCAGTGATATTTGTTACATGGCAGTAGGTGCTGACACAGCTTCCCTGCATGTTCTTCTCCCAAAACATTCAGCAGCCCAGGTGAGGATCGAGGAGGCAAAGAACTGGGTTAGCTGTGCCCTGGTTTTGCTAATGAGCACGATGAAAGAAGAGAGGGCCAGGAGGCCAACGGAGCTTGCAAAGGCATGACCAATAGACCACTGGCCAGGATTCAGGCTGGGCAGGGAGGTAGGATGGCCTGGGCGGGAGAGAGACAGCCAGCCAGGGCTGGACGGGGCTGGACTGGGGAGTCGTAGGTCTCAGTGGAGCCGGGAGGTCGCTAAAATTAGCATTTGTAGAAAGTTGTCAGGCAGGCGGGTGCCTGGCCCAAGATTATCAGTTACCGCTCTTGGTAAGGATGGGGTCTTTGGCCAAGAAGGGTCACTCCACGGCTTTCTTCACGCAGGAGAAGCGCGGGGAAACAACACTCTTGGTGCAGCTGTGGGGGCCCGGGTTCTCGGGGAACCCAGGAGGTGAGAACCCCTGAGGAGGCAGAGGCACACACAGCATGTGCTCCAGGGGCCCTCACACCAGGAACAGCCAGGACGAGCCAGGGGGTGGGCTGTATCCACATCGCAGAAGCCTGGCCCCCAAGGCATCATCTGCAAAGACGGCCAACATTTTAAAGGTCTGAGACGATTTGAAAGCCACAAGCGCTCTACCCACCAGATGCCACAGGTCATCTCATTGGGCAGATGTCCTTCTCAGAGATGACCTCAGAGATGACTGGCAGAGGCTCAAGTGGTGGGAAATGCACCAGTCGCCTCGGGGCTGTGTTCAGATCACAGCCTTCCAGCCCTCAGCCAAAGCTGTCTCAAGAACATGCAGGGGACTAAGATTCTGTCCCTACCTGCACCTCTAGGCACCTAAGGGGACCGCCTGCACCACCAGGCAGGAAGGGGAGCAGGGTCTCTGAAGGACACGAAGACCATGCCAGGTTCTCTCCATTTCCACTCGCAGCCATGGCCCCACCTCTGGTCCCCAGCAAGGGTGTGCTGAAGCCATCAGTCCACATCCAAAAGCCTTGCCCGTGGAACCAGAGCACCGACAGGGACCAGCAAGAGGCCTGCGGACAAAACCACGCCTCCACCAGCTGCTTCCAGGCCCCCAGGACCAGGCCCGAGGCAGCCTCAAAATGCAGGCTGGACAGATAGTCTCCCCTCCATCCTACAAGCGCAGTGGGAAGTGCAGAGCTCAGCGAGCTGGATGGACAGGTCCCTCCCACCTGCCCGCAACCCCCTGGTGTGAAGCTCTCCTTGCTGCTCTGAGCATCAGTGTGGAGCAGCAGTCACTCGCTATCTGTAAAATGGGCATGAGGGACTTGCCAGTTCTAAGAGAGCAGGCCGAGTCTGTGCGAATTCCCTGAAATAAAACTGGAAACCCCAGAAGCAGCATGACTCTTTACTCACAGAGAGCACAGACACGGTAAAAAAAGCTGAGCCAGCACAGGACCCCACCCCACGGCCACAGCGGGGGGCCCCGTTAGGGAGGAGGCCCGTGCCCGTCACACAGCAGGCCTCGCACCGTGGCCAGTCCCAACTCCACCCGCCGGTCGTGGCCGTGCACAGCAGGTTTCAGGCTGCGCGTGGCTCCTTGGAGCCCCCAGCCCAACCCTCAGTCTCCCTGGTCCTCTCCAGGTGGGCTCCCCACCAAGAGGAGTCAAGGTCAGCAAAGCAACGACCTAGCAAAGCCCCCTCCCCCACTCGCCCCCGCCACCCCCAGCTAGGCGATAGGAGGCAGACCTTTCCGGAGAGGTGCCAAGGGTGGGGCCAGGGTCTGGGGTGGGGCCAGACTCTGGGGGCGGGGTCTGGGTGGGGCCAGGGTCTGGGGGCGGGGTCAGGGCCTGGGGGTGGGGTCAGGAATCGGATTGCAGTCAGAGCACGGCCGGGTAAGGTCCAGGCATGGAGTCAGAGCCAAGGCCAGGAGTCAGGGCTGGGATGGGGCCAGGCGTAGAGTCAGTGGGGAGGCGGGATCCGGGTCCGGGTCGGGCCCGGGCTGGGGCCCGTGCTAAGGAATAACCCGGGAACCCCGGAGGCCCCAGCCCAGCCTGGGCTGCACGGACCAAGCAGCGGCGATTTGTGCCCGGCACACAAGCCCCAGCCCACGGCTGCCCAGGTCGGGTTGGGGGGCAGCCGAAGCGGTGTCCACCGGCTCTCCCAGCTCTGGGGCAC